ATATGGAATGGACATTCTCTAAGAATTACAAAAGAAGGGTCATAATATGTTGACTCTGTAGAACGGTAAATGGAGAGTCTTCGAGAGTCTTCTGTAAATGCAGAGATTAGATTGAAAGGGGTACAAAACAAAATTTGCAATGCTATTCAAGACTTAATAGCAGAAGGAAATATCAAGCTCTCATATAACTAGAAAGCATTTGCCTTCAAAAACACACTTAGAGATTTCTTTACAAATCGTAGTGAGACAGAAAAGTGAAAAATCTTAATTATGTTCAGATGGGTCCCCAGGTTGTAGAAAGCAAGGTAAATATGCAGATTTTTCTTTTGGCAAAACTTTCAAGAAGTAGAGCTGGAGTCAGTATGGAAGACTAATGAGCTTTTCTGGGTATACAGAATACTCAAATAGCTTCTATGCGTGAGACTCTGTAAGAACCGCCTCTCAGATAGCCTTCTGGCACCTGCTGGCTGAGCCCCATGGAGGTGAGTCTCTGGACAGTTTGGTCTGCAGCATCCTTTGGGCTGTTTCTTGGGTACCAGCTGCACCTGCAGGGGCACCATAGGCTTCCCCCAGAGCTGGCAGCCAATGAGCCATTCTCATCATGCTGCACTCTATTTTTATTTTCACTTGAGAAAAAATAAATAAATAAAACAAGTATTAATCTCTTCAGGTTCCCAGGGAGTGAATCTCCTTTCCTTATCATAAGATCTTGCTTGTCTGTGGCCTCTCTCGAAACATTCTTTCTATTTGTTGTGAAGCTCTTAAGCCTAGCAGTGGAGAGGTGAATTGAACATGGGAGGAGCAGGTGTTGTGTAAGCTGGCCTTCAGGGGTGTGTGCAGAACCGATGCGTCCCTCCTGATCTCAAACACCCACCCACTGTTCTTCCCAATTTTAGACCTCTCTGGAGCTTCGTACTCTGCAGATGTAACTAGTACTTACTGAAACAAATAAAACAGACAGGATCACTCTGATTGCCAAAGATACACTCATCTGTTTATACCACCCACGCCAGACTCTTCTCTAAAGTGCTGTAAATATTGGGTTTTGTGTTTGGTGGGATTGTGATATGTATCGAGTGAAAGAAAAATCAAAGCAAGATCATGGACCTGCTGTAGCTGGGATTGCAGCCCTAGGCTACCAGCTCTGTGTATGATAATGTACAGCCTCCTAACACCTCTACTTCTTTCTAGTCTATCAACCGTTTCTTCCCTTGACTTTCAATCTCAATAAGTATGTGAAGTCACCTGAGGTATTTATCCTAAATATTCTATATTTATCCTTGAATCTTTATTTTAGGTCTTTCTTTGGAAGGTAAAAGCAAGATTTGTGTGTTGGGTGACAATGTGGTGTTTTCTAAACTAAATACTTAGAAACTAAGTAAAATTAAGCAATGGAAGGAAGAAGCTGATGTATGAAGCAGAAGGTATTAAAGTTTATCTAGGGTTAAATACAAGTTATATTGCCTGGTACTATAGCATTTCATAATATGTTTAATGCTCTATTTTTGCTCCACCTTACAGGGTTTTCTCTTCTAGATATCACAACAACCAGTTCCTTGTCAAACAGGATATTCCATTTTTACACCAAAACAGTCATGAGTCTTTACCCGAATCATTGATAGTAATCACCTTTATTCACAGTCATTTGAATATAGAACACAACAAACATTTTTCAGAATTTAAGTATCCTTGTATCTAACAGCAAACTTTATCATAGCAGAACCTATTTTCCTTTAAAAAAATATTGCTGCATTGTTTAAGAAGATGTAATAGATATTGAGTCTCAAAACAATACAAAACGAATACATAGATTCATGGATCATGCCTGTGGACCTCAGATGTGAAATGGCTCATCCTGAAAGGTTGAACTTCATAGTATGAAGTTCGCATACTCTGTGCTGCGATTTCTTTGTGATGATACATTTCCTCTACTACTGCTGGTTTTTAAGAAGCAATTTGTTTTGTCCTTGAATTAAAAAAAAGGTTAGTCTAATTTTTGTAATCTGGTAAATGCCCTGGGGCATGAAATCTGTTTCCTAATTAAACAGGACTTTACAGCAAATCTAGAGCAAGACCCTGAGGGAAAAGAAAGCTGCTGATTTCCAAAGCCAGGGTGAAAATTTCCCATCATAAGAATAAAAGTTGAGTTCATTTGAAACAGAACCAAATTTTAGTGGTTATACCTGCTTACAAGATCGTCAATAGTAGTGTTAATATATTGGTGTGAGTGATTTAGAAAGAAGCCCATGTGGAACCTTTGGGCAATAAAGAAAGCAGCCAGTGGACTGAGTGAATGAAATAAATGAATTCATCGGAGAGTTTCTGGTAATATATGAGTGACTTTTTTTACAGCTCACAGAGAGACTGGGGCAGTGTTTTATTAGTCCTTCTAGACTTGATGGTTGAGCTAAGGGTAGGCTAGCTTTAAGGGGTCTGTTATTGTTTACAACACACACACACACATACACATACACAAACAGAGAGTTAAGTGAAGATACAAGATAGCAGTTAGTATAGTGATTTTATTAATGAATATTTAAATGTGGGCACTGACAAAACATTTTCCCATTACAGTTGATGCAGAGCATAGGCCTGTGATAAGTACATTTAAAGATAATTAGATGCGGGTAGAAGGTATGGTGTCTTCTGGAACACCCATATTGAATGCATAAATAGAGAAGCAATCTGCACAGTGTGGCAGATGGACAATTGAGAAGGAAGAAAGTGGAAGGTGAGCTTTCCTAGAGTTTTAGACACAGACAGGGAGTGGTGAACTCTGGTTTAGCCTTTGGCTGTGGTGCTTTTGGCTGGCTGGTTGACTGTTTTTAACAGAGGTATAGTATTACTATTCATGAATTTTTTGTTTAATTCTGAAAAGAGATAGTTACTCTAGCAAGATGGAAGGCGATTACTTAAAAATTCAGCACTAAAATTGCTTGTACAGTTTCAGGAAATATAGTAACTATAGAGTTGTGAGGATTATTAATTTTGATATAATAGTTTAGAGGTGATATTTTTTCTAGACAATTAAAAATACTCACAATCAAAAATGGATTATCAGTTTTATAGAGGAACTACCTTGGCTCCAAATCAAATTTTTAGCTGTATCATTTGGTTTAGAGCCTTTATATCCAGAAATTTCTGTATTCCACATCAGGCTTTCCCTCCTTAAATCTATTCAGTTTTCAGGATTATAAAAGATGGAATGTCAGTTATGTGACAATCAGAAAAATTTTGAAGTATTTATTCTTGAGTTCTCAAATGACTAAATAAACCATTGTGTTAAGTATTGATCCTGTCTTCTTTTCTAAACAAAAGGCAATGATATGGAAGAATCTATTTTATACCTCCACCACAGGAAAATAATGCATGATAATTTTCTTATTCCATTTAGTTTTACATTCATGTTCTTGTGCTTCTTTCTCTGTTGCTTTTATGAACACAGAGAAAAAAAACAAACACCTAATACACAGAAGAAAAATGATGACTCTCAAGTACTAACACTATTCTTATTATTAGAAGGCTACCAAGGTATCTCCATCTGCTAAAAGACATTCGGAAAATAAGTGGAGCCCCAAGTAAGATCAGAGATATGGCAATCTACAGAACAGAAATTGTGATATCTGCGCCTAGTAAATTTCAGTTTTCTTCAGAGAAAGCTTCCATTTGGCTGGTTTTATTAGGGTTTCACGAAGATGAAATTTGTTTTGGGGCCTATGGCAAGGCAAAACTTCATGGCAAGGAGCATGTGGTAGATCAAAGCTTCTCACACCCTGTGGACAAAGAGACAGCTCACTTTGATCACAAAGTCCCTCCCCAAATGTCCACCGAACTCTGAATTCATGAATGGATGAAAGTACTCAGGAAGTCAGAGCCCTCATTATCCAATTACCCCTCCCCCAAAGACCCCGTGGTCTCTGAGCTGGGGATCAAGTCTAATATACAAGCTTTGCAAGGACAGTTACCAGCCAAATCATAACCATCCATAAGCCATGAAGGATGCTGGTAGCCTAAGATTTTTCTTTGCCAAGGCACAACAGGGAAAGATCTATCTTTGCATCCGTGGACCACTGCTCTACCCTAGTCCTAATTTTATCTCAATTGCATCAAACTACCCTGGAGGATGAACACAGAGATGTGAGCATTAGAATTTGCTGTGCTTCAAACTTACCTTGTTGAGCACTTCTGCTGTGATAACAGCCAGCTAGAGGCTGTGAATTGGGGCTTTCATGGGAACGACGAACTGATAATATTTCAAAACAACAAACAAAAATAGAAAGTGATGAAATTCTCTGGTCAATCATGTGTCCGGTTTTTCTGTCATGTGCTTTTTTTCCTCTTCTGTTCAGGTGCCACGGCCATACACATTCCCCTTGTTGAATGTGGAAAGGGAAATACCTGTGTATCAGAATAGAAGGGAGAGCAAGAAGAGAGAGAGACAGAGACAGAGACAGAGAGAGCATGATTTACCAGCCTCACAGGACAATGAACATAGCTTTATATGGGCAGCTATTAATTTGTCCCAAAGAATACAGTTGATAGGATTCTCTTGTCTCTGTGTAACTAAGATTTTGTTTATTACTTTTTAAAAGAAACTTTTCTTCACTCAGGATGGGACTGGTTCTCAGGCTTACCTGAAGAACAACTTTATTATTATTATTATTATTAATTAGTATCATTATTGCCTGAGGGGGGAGGAAGTCAGGGGGAGGGGTAAGGGGGTCTTAGTGCAATTCTAGACCTAAAGGAGAATAGCTGTTCCTCCCAGAGGCTGGCTTTTCTCCCCCCACTCTTCTGAGGCTCAGTACTTCCTCCCTCGGTGTGAGCTAAGTCTGTGCAAGGCCGTGTGGAGTTGGAGTTTGGAGTGGTCAGGGGCGGTGTGTGGAGGAAAGGCCTGCGAGGCAGGCGGCGTGGGGTGGTCTTGAACTCACTTGGGCGCAGTGGGGCGCGCGTGCTCCCCCTGCAAGTAACCCCCGCCCCGTCTGCATTTCTGTCCGCAGTGCGAATGGCAAGTCTGTGTCGTGGTGTGAGCCGGGAGGAAGGCAGGGGCCCAAGGGACAGCACATGTGGCACCGCCTCTCCGTGCACGTGAAGACCAGCGAGACGGCCTGCAACCAGACGGCCGTCATCAAGCCCCTCACCAAAAGTTACCAAGGCTCGGGCAAGAGCTTGACCTTCTCCGATACCAGCACCAAGACCCTTTGCAACGTGGAGGAGGAGGGCGACGCGGGGCCCGGCGGCTTCGGGGCCCCAGCAGCCCTTCCATGGTGGTGCACCGCCGCGCGCCCCCCGCCGCCGCCGCCACGCCGCCCCTGCCCCCCCACCTGACCGCCGAGGACACCCCCCTCTTCCTGGCCGACCCGGCCGTGCCCCAGGGCCTGCCCCCGCCCCTCCACGAGCAGCAGCAGCAGCAGCAGCAGAAATCCCTGATGGAGCACATCCAGGGAGTGGTCACTAACTTGGGCCCCGGGATCCCCGACTTCCAGGCGGCCGTGCTGGCGGGTCCTGGGGGCCCCGGGAACGGGCTGCGGTCGTTGTACCCCCCGCCACCCCCACAGCAGCTGCAAATGCTGCCCCTGCAGCTGAGCTCCTTTGGGGACGAGCCTGCGTCGCCCTCCGCCGAGGACGAGGAGGACGACGAGGAGGAGGAGGAGGACAGCGAGAGGTTCAAGCTGCTCCAGGAGTACGTGTACGAGCGCGAAGGCAACACGGAGGAAGACGAGCTGGAAGAGGAAGAGGAGGACCCGCAGGCGGCCAGCAAGGGGACCCCCGAGGATTCACCCGCCCTGACGCCGCCATCACCTTTCCGAGACTCTGTGGCCTCGGGCAGCTCGGTGCCCAGCTCCCCCGTGTCCGAGTCGGTGCTCTGCACCCCTCCCAATGTGAGCTACGCCTCGGTCATCCTGAGAGACTACAAGCAAAGCTCGTCCACGCTGTGAGCAGAGGGCCTCTGCACGGAGAAGCCAGAAGAGGCGCAGAGCTCTGACCCCTCCGGAGAGATGGGCTGAAGGCCAGGAGGAGAGGCCTGGAACGGAGGCCCAAGGGGAAGAGAAGGCTGCAGGCAGACGGAAGGAGGGAGGGAAAGACGAGACGCCAAGATGCTGACTTGAACACTTCCAAGGCCTTCTCCAGGAAGAAAGGCGATTTTTTTTTTGACAAAGCACAATTCCATAGGCTATGTGACTTTTACTGCAAATAAATAAGTAAATGGTTTTAAAAAATCAATGAAAATAATCTCTTCTGCACAGTTGTGCATACATATATATGCTCCCCTACACACACACACACACACACACACACACACACACACACACACATGGCCAAACTTGACATGGGACAGCCCCTGTGGATGTACCAGCCTGATCATTAGTTAGTTCCTCTTGAGGCGGTCTTAGCAGGTGGAGACAGTGAAGAGTAAAAGGAAGAGGCAGAGACATGGGACATCCAGGGCCCAGGACTGGGTCAGCTCCAATTTATGACGCTCTTCTCTCTGCTAGGCCTGCAGATTCCTGGTTTTCAGGAGACTCTGGGGGAACTGACTTTGGCAGAATGGGGCCCTCTCCACCCACGGCTGCCAATCAGTGCCAGCCTTGCTGTTGCCCTTGGAGAAAGGTGCGCAAACACCCTGAGGCTCTGTGATTTCCATCTATCTAGGAAAACAGGAACCTGAGCAAAATCACCATCACAAAGTGCTTCGCGGGGAGGAAGAAAGAGCAGCCAGCTGATACGGCCACGTGGGTCTTTCCGCAAAATCGGTGGGCACAACCAGACTCCCGTATCTCATACTGGCTTCTTGATGATTTGGGGGAAAGGCGAGAAGGGGAGATTGCTTGGAGAGAGTGAGCAGAGACCTTCTGTTTGTGCCAAGTGGGCTCTCGGTTTCCATTAAGTTAAACAGGACAAACTGGGTGGCAAGTGTAACCTTCCATTTACTGTAGCAAATTCAGCTAAGCTGTTGGACTTCCAAGAGTCAGTATACGTACAATGTGGTGCCATTGTTTCTCCTATGTACGACAGAAACAAATCTTTCTTCCAACCTGATGGTGAACTCAAAGCAATGGTTACTGGTTTAAATGACAAGTGACCCATCTTTCCTGTTATTACTTCTGTGTAACTAGAGAGTGAACCCGTCCCTGGGTCCTGTGTACATGTGGCTATAAAATTTGTGTCATGTGATAATGTCAGCCTAACTGCAACTACAAGATTGTCTTTTGGAAATAGTGTAGATAGTTTTATGTTCCAGTAATGTTTGATAGATCATTGTCACCGATATCTACTGAAACTCTGAAGGTTTGAGTACCGAGGTCCATTGTTTTTCCTATGCAGCTCAGATGGTAGTTCCTCTTCTACGAAGGAACTTATTTTTCAGATGTTTTATGATGTGGAAATACTATTAATTAAGTCTTTTGGAAAAATGTGTATTAAATGGTTACAAAACTGTGGGTGACAATAAAAGGTACATTTTATAAACTCTCACAACATCATTATAAAAACATAACATTGAAAAGATAGTATTTAGATTATTTCAGGTTATTCCCGATTTTTCAAATATTTTCCACACCTACTTGAGCTTTACTTTCTTCTGGCATACAATATCATCCAAGCCAGTCACAATATCTCAACTATTAATTCATCAGTCACATTTTGCCTTCTTTTTATTTTTGGTGTCATGTCTTTCGTTCTTGTATTTTTCTGTCATAACTTTTCTTTCTAATTCTCTCATTTGCTGCTGGGTAATATCCATGTGTATATGGATATTCCATTTTTACCTTCTGCTCTTGTGTCCAATAAAAGATTTTTTTCTTCCTGCTTTTGATTTCTTTTATTCTTTGTGGAATGAATCCTACCCCTTTAAATATCTTTGTTTATGCCTTCTGTTCAGTCACATTTAATATGCTTCCTTCATGCTGAAGCTGCTGATGTCCCAGCCAAAAATCATCTTAGAATCTTTAAATATCATCTGCGTTCTTTGCTCAGAATTTATCATAACTCTAATGTTGGAGAGTTGAGTTTCATGTATTTTACCATATTCTCCAGCCCAGGGTAGCTAGTTCCATATCAAGAAGGAATTGCCTTCCCTTTAAAATTTATTTTAAAACATCTTTACTGAAACATAACCTCATGATCAAAATGTGAATTTCAGTTCCAACTTTTCATTATGATGAAACAGAATCAGAAAAAAAAAGATGGTTCTAGTGCTTGTGAATTTCTACAGGCAAACTGCCATGAGAAGGCTTACCATCTCTTATTCATAAAATGTGGTCTATCAATCTTAAGGCCACCAACATTCATCCTTATATTGTGGGTCTTGTGTATTCTTTGAAAGTCAGAGTGTATGAGAAAAAAAATGTACTTCTCTTCAAGAAATGTAAAGATGCTAGTTTGTTCTGAAGTTTTGGTCTGAGACATTCAATACTGATTACAATATTACACTGAATACCTATTGTTATGATTATGAGTTTTCCTGAATAAATAGCGTATTAGGACATATGTCATAATTGTTCAAAACTAGAGATGTACACATGCATACCCTGTACCAAAAGGAACAAAAGTCTTCACCTTAATGTACGTGCTTATACAAGTTGTTCTGCTTCTTGTAAAAGTGTTTCCTTTGGCTCGTTACTGACTTTTGTCAAATAATCTTGATATTGCTGTATAATAAATATTTTCTATTTAGTAAATGTGTACATCCCTTCTCTAAACTTTGTAATTATTACAGAAACAGAGACAGACAACTGGAAGAAACAATCCTGGTGGTTTGATTTTGCTCACAGCCTACTTCAATGTGAAAGTTGGAGACACTGAACAAAACCTACCAGAAGGGTAGGTGATCAAGATGAACACAATTTAGTTATGAGAAATATGGTGTGTCAAGCTACAGCAGTTTTAACTGGGACCCCAAATTCAGATTTCCAACACCATGGTAGATATTGCCGCTCGTCTTTGATACAGGATGCCAGATTTGACAAACCCCTGGGTCTTAATGGGTCTTTGAAGAAAGAGGTATTTGTTTCACTTGTGCCCTGTAAAGCTTTCCTCTTCTGATACACACTTTGGAGGGACTTACTTTTCCTCTTGTGGAGATCCTCCTCACCTCCAGATCAATTCCTCTACGTTTTATTGGAGACTTCACAGGTTGCCCATTTAAAGGGGGCATTTGCATTTTCTGATGAGCTTCCCTCAAAGGAGGTATTTCCCAGTTACCAAGATTGGGGGTGGGGGAGGGGTAGGAGGGCCATGCCCATGTAAGGGCTGCCTTTGGAGGGTGAGAACGGCTCCATCTTGGCAGGCTGATGTTGAAGAAATGATCAGAAACGGGCTGAGACACCAGGAGGCTTTTTCAGAGTGAATAGAAAACAGAAGAGATAGCATGAAATAGGAGTTGGGAGTAGACTTCCAAGAGAGAATGAGAACCAAAAAACAATGGGTAGGAAAAGATAGGTGGAGAAAAGTAATAAAAGGGAAACTAGGAAATGGTTAGGGGGAGCAGTCAAGGCTGTCCCCATGGGTCATGGGGTGGGGAGCACAAGGGCCTCCCATTGGAGGGAACATAAAAGCTTCGCTGGATAATAAGGAAGGGATTTGGAGAACCTGGCATGGGGTTCAGCAATGATGCATAAGAAATTTTCCCCAAAATTCTACAGAGAACGCCCTGGGAGGTAATCAAAAAGAAGAGAACTGCCATTTTTATGAACTTGCTGCAATGCCCTGTTAGGTTCAGTGTACGTGGCTGCCTTACAGATTCTTCAGAGAACTGGAAACACTTGCCCAAGTCTCTCAATGAGTAAGTAGCCAGCAGGGCTTCATTCCCCATCCTAAGCCAGTACACAACCTGGAAATCAATTTGTGCTCCTCTGGAGAGCTCAGGGAAGTATATAGGGTTTGGTTCCTTTCAGCTTGGGAACAATTTTTTCTGTCTCGTTTCTGAATCCTGAGGGCATAGAAAATATTCACTAAAGATTTGCTGGGAAAGTAATAATAGGAAATAAGTGTTATATTACCATAGTTTTCCCAGCTCAATTCCCCAAAGGTTCATTCCAAGATCTTTATGGCATCCAGGACTTTATATTTCCACCTATGGATCCTAAGCTTGTTGGCTGGAACAGCACGTGTTTTCATTAGAAGCAGGGAGCTTTCCTTCAGACATCAGAACAAGCTGTCTGTCCTGTAGAAAGTAGGTTCCCTTTCCTACAGCAAAAGGAGCAATACTTAGTGCCCACTAAATATTACCAGAGGTCTGGTACTGTATGGAAGGCAGGAGACCAGAAGATTAATATGTCAGTTGCTACAAGGGGACATCACTGAGTGAAGGCCACATAGATCACTATGGAGAAACCAGTACCAGGTATTCCCACTCTTTCTGGAAATGCTATCTTCAGTCAAAATGAAAGCCAACCCCAGTTAGTATGAGTGAAAGGAAATGAAAGAAAGGATAACTTCAGTTAGAGAAACTGGAACCTGGCTGAATCACAAGGTTTTACTGGGGAAAGGAAGACTTAAAATTCACAGAAGCAAGGAAGCTTATTTATGAACAAGAGTAACAAAAACTGAACAATGAAAATAAGGAGAGAAAATGAGAGCTGTAAGGAAACTAGGAAGGGATTTAACATAAGCTCTCATCCTGTTTGGGAATCATGCTCCTGTGTCCTGTTCTGCTTGCTAGACGGTGAGGGGCCACTGCGGGATGGTGCGGGCTGGAGTACAATTGCAAATGCTGTGGGATGAGAGAAGGGAAAAGTGGGAGGGCAAGCTCAATGCCACTTGTTAATTCATGAAGCTGGCCAGGGAACAGGGAGAAGAGAATGGCGGGAATGCAGGAAGCAGAAGAGCTCAAAGCAAAGCTCAGACTACCAAGGCACTCAACAGTGCCTTGGGGCAGGGGGGGGGGAGGAGGGTCTGAAGAAATTCCAGGGGCAAAGTGTTGGTGAGCAAAATGAACTTCTGGTGAGACTCACAGAGCATCATGTGTGTCACTGGGGTTAATGTCAAGGGAACTGTGGATACTTACTGTGCAAAACTCCTCAGAAACCATGATCTTGCATCCGATAAGGGAAGGCTTTA